AATACACATTCTCTCTGAGATTTCATCTAGATCTGTTATGTTCTTGACCCTAGTGTCTTTGAGAATAAGGTAGAAGGCTTCAAGAGCTTCGTGTTGGTCCAAGAGTTGGTTTCGTCATCTTTGGAGTTTCGATCTTGCTTGCCCGTCTTCTACACTTAAAGTAGGGATTTTCTTTGAGTTATATATATGTTTTTGTAAGATCTAGATGATTTTCGAAATCATCATTTGATTAGTTTTGAAAATTAATTTTTGATTCAAGAAAAAGAGTGATTTTGAAAGTGGGTTTACCATTTGATCATTTGAGATAGAAATTGGGGGTTTTGAACTATGTTGATTAAAGAAAGATGTTTTTAGTGAGATTTCTTCAAATGTTTTGGAGATGAATTGTTTTGGTAAGAAAGCCTAGAAAGTAAGAGTTTTAAAAAGATGTTGAGAAACCATGGATGATGTTGTTATATTTATTTTGTATGCCAAAATAAATGAATGCTGGAAAATTTCTTATTTATATTTATATAAATGATGTTTTCATGGAATATGGGAAATTGTTGAGATGGCTTGAAATGTGGGAGTTATGCTATCCCTTGAATGAATTGAAATAAACGTATTTATTCATCTTGTGAAATTGTATTGAAAGGAGAAATGAAAATTTTGATCATAATGAAAATATTGTGTGGAAGAATTGAAAATGGATAAAATGTTGCATTGCATTAATTGATATATTGGCATATCAATTCATTAATAATGAAGAGCTTTGAAATTTGATTTGAAAACTTTGCATTGAGAAAAGAATACTAAGAAACAAGTTTTCATGAAATGGCTTTGGGAAAAATACGATGGTAAGTCTTAAAAGGTGGTGTAGATTATACATGTCGAGTCTTCTAGTTAATACTGGTAAAAATGACACATTAGAGGTGTCGAGCCTTCCGATTGATACCGGTAAAAATGACAAATTGGTAATACTTGTATAGTCTACTTGCAGACACTGACCTAGGGATTACCAGAGTTGTATTTACCACCCTTCGAATAAAGTTTGATAAATGTTGAGTAGTTGAAATTGTATGACATCATTGAGCATGTTGGTTTTCAAAGGATGAAGGTGTGTTTTACTTTAAAAAATGCATGGCATGACATAAGCATTCCATCTCACGAGACTTATATAAAATGTATATACTTTGTTAAGAATTTCCTACTGGGCTTTATGCTCACCCTACGGGATTCTTGTGCAGGAAAAGATGTGGTGATTCCGCCTAACTGAAGGCGTGGAAGTGTGTGCAGAGAGCATAATGTGCTCATTTGCTGTGACTCTGATTGTAAGCCAAGGGCTTGTATGTATGGATTTGAATAACCGTTTTATGTAACCAGGCTCAAGCCTTGGAAACTTGTAAACCCTTGAGGATATTTGTTGTTTAATTAATTGTTGTTGGATTAATTGTACTATCGCATGAAAACTATTTACATCATGTAATGCAAGTGTGAGAGTTTATTATTAGTTTTACTTTAAAGGTCCATGACTATTGTATTACCATTTGGGCATGAAAATTGGGGTGGTACAAGTATTTTCTCACTATTGCTGATGACTTCACACGTTGCACTTGGGTTTACTTAATGCGACAAAAATCTAAAACTTGCACACATTTTCAGACCTTCATTCACTTTGTTGTGACTCAATTTGACATAAAAGTTAAAATTATTCGAAATGATAATGGTCTTGAATTGGATATGCCTCAATTTTACTCTCCAAGGCATTGTTCACCAAACTAGTTGTATTGATACCCCTCAACAAAACGGCGTAGTTGAGTGTAAACATCATCACTTGTTGAACGTTGCTAGGGCTCTTCTATTCCAAGCATCTTTGCCAAAACAATTTTAGAGGGAAGCACTCCAAACTGCCACTTACCTCATTAATTGAACGCCAAGTCCTCTGTTTTCTAGACAGTCTCCCTATGAGAAACTTTATCACAAAACTCTAGCATATACCCATCTTTGGATTTTTGGTTGCCTCTGTTTTGCATCAACACTTGCCCGTTCCCACACAAAATTTGATACTCAAGCAAAATGATACATTTTCTTGGGGTATCCTTTTGGCCAAAAGGCTTACCGTGTCTTTGACCTCACTACTCACACTATTTTTACCTCTCGAAGACGTTATTTTCCATGAAAATACGTTTCCTTATGCTACTTCATTGCCTACTGCGTCTCTGCTCTTATCAATCATGCCTACTTCCACAGGGCTTAAGCCACTACACCCAATCGGGGCTTAAGCCAGTACTCCTTACTAGGCTTGAGCTAGCAATACTTCCTTCATCCCAGTCCAGTGCACCTACCTCTTCACCTCTTCTCCCGGATGCACCTGTTCCCTCATCCATCACCAATATCCATCCACCTGTTCCCATTCTTGCCAGGTCCTCTCGACCCACTAAACAACCAGCCTATTTGTAGGATTATCTAATTAGCACAAGCGTACCATCTCACTCATCCTCATCAAGGTACAAACTCATTATTCTCTTACAAATCCTTTATCATATGCTCGTTTATCTGCTTCCCATATATCTTTTGTTAGTTCTCTAACAACTTCCATCGAGCTGCAATTTTATCATCAAGCTGTACATGATCCTAAGTGGCGAGAAACCATGCAGGCTGAAATATTGGCACTTGAAACTAACAACACTAGGACTATCACCGCCCCTCCACCTGGAAAAAAGCCCATTGGATGTAAATGGGTTTATCGCATCAAATACCAGCCATATGTCTCAATTAAACACTACAAAGCCCATCTCATTGCAAAAGGCTACAATCAGCAATGGGGTCTTGACTACATTGATACTTTTTCCCCAGTTGCAAAGTTGGTTACTGACCGCCTCCTACTTATTCTTGTCTTCATCAATAATTGGCATCTTCATTAGCGTGATGTAAATAACGCATTTTTACGTGATGATCTTGTTGAAGAGGTCTATATGTCCTTATCTCTTGGCTTTGGTCAAACGAGGGATACTCAGGTCTGTCGCCTCAACAAATCTCTTTATGGGTTAAAACATGCATCTTAACAATGGTTTCTAAAGTTCTCTGAAGCTCTCTTTGAAACTAGCTTCACTTAATCCAAAGCTGATTACTCTTTGTTCGTTAAAACTGAGGGCACTTCTTTCACAACCATACTTATCTATGTCGATGATGTTATTATTACTGGAAAAGACTTACCTATTATTCAACTCCTAAAGGACTACTTGCATTTCCATTTTAAACTTAAGGATCTGGGTCCATTAAAATACTTCTTGGGCAATGAAGTTGCTCGCTCAAAGAAAGGAATTTTCCTCTCTCAATGAAATATGCTTTGGACATTCTTAGTGATACAGGTTTAACCGCCACTAAACCAGCAGATTTCTCGATGGAACAGAATCACACACTCGGTTCTTCTGATGGTATTCTTCTTGTTGACACTACACCATATAGCCGATTGATTGGACGTTTGATATACTTAACTATTACAAGGCCGGATATTACATATGCGGTCAACACTCTCAATCAATTCCTTGACAAGCCTACTCAATCTCTTTTTCATGCAATCCATTGTATACTTAGGTATGTCAAGCAGGCCCCTGGTCAAGGTTTGTTTTTCCCCATGACTAGTTGTCTTCAACTGAGGGCCTTTTGTGATTCTAATTGGGCACGTTGCAAAGACACTAGACGATCCATTACTGGTTATTGCATATTCTTAGGTGACTGACTCATCTCATGGAAATTCAAGAAATAAACAATTGTTTCATGTTCTTCTGCAGAAGCAGAGTACCAATCCATGGCTAACACTTGTCGTGAAATTACCTGGATCCATTATTTACTAAAGGATCTAAATATTTCCAATCATATGCAGACAATGATGTATTGTGACAATAAGGCTGCGATACATATCGTAAACAATCCGGTATTTCATGAACGCACTAAACACATTGAGATAGATTGCCATTTGGTCAGAGATAAATTGCAGCAAGGCCTATTCTATTTACAGCATATTTCTAGTGCCGATCAACCAGCAGACATTTTTACCAAGGCTCTTGGTGCAGCTCAATTTCACCATTTAGTCAACAAGTTGGGCATTATTAACATATATGCTCCAACTTGAGAGGGTGTATTACGGATCCTCTAGCATATATAGATTTTTTATATTTAATGAATATTCTTCTGTAAATAGATAGTAGATAATTCGGAATTAGTTGATTGTTATTTCATAGAAAGAGATCGTTTTTCCATAGATAGAGATCCAGCCATATGAGGCTCTCTCTTGTAATCTGTATTTATACCTCACATTGTTAATGAGAAATTCAACTTTCTAGTTACAAAACTTTTCACAGTAATGCATAGTAATTATTTTATTTTTAAAACAATAATTATGCCAAAATTATACAGAGTATCACTACAAGAATTTACACATTTTGCGACCACTTTTACCGACTAAAAAAATTTTGGTCGCAAAAAAATGACGTTTGGCGACCAAATATTAATTAGTCGCGAATGATCATTAATTTTGGCGACCAAATTTTATTGGTCGCAGAAGGTTATATTTTGGCGACCAAAAAATATGTTGATCGCAGAAAGTGGTATACTTTTGCCGACCAACTAAAAATTTGGTCGCGGAAGGTCACATATTTTTTGGCGACCAAAAATTTGGTCGCGAAAAACTTATTTTCAGCAACCAAAAAAAATTAGTCGCCAAATTAGTACTTTTAGCGACTAATATTTTAGTCGCCGTTTATTGAGATTTGGCGACTAAAAAAATTTGTCGGCGAAAGAACCTATTTTTGCGACTAATTTGACAATTTGGTCGCCAAAAATTTGGGGGGAAATTTGAAACGTGGGGGCGGGAATTGAATTTCAGAAAAAAAATTATAGATTGGGGTAATTTTCTACCTCTCACTGTTGATGCATCAATCGAACCCAGATTGGGGTAATTTGGTTTAACTCGTCTCCTCCCATTCCCTCTCTGTCTCTCTCTCCCTCTCTGTAATAAGTAGTGAAATTTAAGTAATTTTTGTTGTGGGTCGAAAATATAAGTAATTGTGAGCATTCTTCTCATCCATTGTTTCCTTATTTTGCTGAAATTTTGTTACTTCAAGTAGTGAAAATTTTCACCACTAAAATGTTTTTGCAGCAACTATTTTTGCGTATGGGCAGACAAGCAATGGAAAGACATACACAATGTCTGGCATTACTGAACATGTTGTAGCTGATTTATTTGACTACATACATATGGTACTTTAAAAATGCCATTCTTTTCCCAATATTGTTTTCTGAAATCAATTACACTTGTACGAATTCCTACTCAATGTTGCTGTATTTTTTTCAACATCTAGCATAATGATAGAGAATTTGTATTGAAATTCTCTGCAATTGAGATTTACAATGAAGCTGTCAAAGACCTCCTAAGCCCAGCTAGTGGCCCACTTAGGCTACTTGATGATCCAGAGGTGAATATTGTACTTGATGTGAATACAAATGACATTAAACTGAATTTTCACAAACATCTTTAGCTGGTCTCTTCTCTCTTCTGCAGAGAGGAACCATTGTCGAGAAACTTACAGAGGAGATTTTGAGGGACTGGGACCATCTAAAGGAGCTCCTCTCTTTTTGTGAAGGTAAGTATCGTCAATTGGTCATAGTAGTCCTGTTTTCTTGGATGATATTGTAAGTCTATTCAGTGCATTGCGTTCGTGCAGCTCAAAGACAAATAGGGGAGACCTCTCTGAATGAAACGAGTTCCAGATCTCATCAAATTCTCCGACTGGTATGAAACGAGTTCCCCATTTTTGTCACTGAAGCTGTTATTTATTATATGACTTTAGGATCCGTCATACTAATTTTCCCTTTCATTTGTAGGTTCAATTGCAGCATAAGATAAAACAAGAGGCAGAGCAATTTCGACAATGGAAGGCCTCTCATGAGAAGGAATTGCTTCAGGTACTTGACGTTTCCCAGTTATCCATGTAACCTGGGATTCTTCATTTTTAAAAAGCAAACATGTTTCACTTATAAAAGTTTTAACTTATGCATGCTTCAGATTTAATTAATCAAAAAGGAAAAAAAAAGAAAAAGAAAGAGGCAAACAAGTTGAACATGTTATGCATGGTATGCACGGATATCATTGAATGTATTGTTGATGACGTTTTTCTCAAGCAGCTAAGGAAGGAAGGCAGAAGAAATCAATATGAGCAACATAAACTGCAAGCTTTAAATCAGCACCAGAAAATGGTAAAGATTTCTCTCTGCCAATTTTTAGGTAAGCGATATCCTGGTATGCGAAGTAAGATGTATATTAGAGAACCTAGTTTCTTTCCTCGATAACCAAGGGTAACTGTCTACTGACCATTACACTTTCTTTTTTTCTTTTCTTATTTGACTGGCATATAAGATCTAGAATTTTATGAAAATAACAGGATTACACATTTTAATAAATTACTACTATTATGAAACTTTTAAATCCTGGCCTCTCCCTTGTTCCTTTTAAAGAAAGGAAGCTTTAATCCTATTTCTTTTGTCATTGTATTTTTTTTGGTCGTGAAATGTCACAATTGGCGACCAAACTAATTTTGGTCGCAGAATGTCACAATTGGCGACCAAAATTTTTGGTCGCGAAATGCCACAATTGGCGACCAAACTAATTTTGGTCGCAAAATGTCACAATTGGCGACCAAACTAATTTTGGTCATGGAATGTGACAATTAGCGACTAAGAAATTTGGTCAGCAAAAGGCAACTTTTCGCGACCAAAATGTTTTAGCGACAAAATAGATTAGTCGCAGTAAATAAATATTTAGCGACTAAAAATTTAGTCGGCGAAAGAGATCGTTTTTCCATAGATAGAGATCCAGCCATATGAGGCTCTCTCTTGTAATCTGTATTTATACCTCACATTGTTAATGAGAAATTCAACTTTCTAGTTATAAAACTTTTCACAGTAATGCATAGTAATTATTTTATTTTTAAAACAATAATTATGCCAAAATTATACAGAGTATATAATTTGCAATATAGATAATTTGTATAAATAATTTATAGGATGTAATTAAATATGATAATATTTTATGTGCTCTATTAATCTTTAAGATTAATTTTTCACTATTAATCTTCTGGATCATATTAACCTTCTAAATTAATTTGGTCAGATATTAATCTTCTAGATTAACTTGTTGATGAGATATTAATCTTCTAAATTAATTTACTCAAATGTTAACCTTCTGGATTAACTTATATCTAACCATGGTCTTCAGGATCAGTTGGATATTATATGTAAAACTATAAAATAAATTAAAGACAACAATTATAGTTAGGTTAGCGAATTGTGCTAATAACGTGTTACAAAAATAAAGAAAAAATAAAACAAATAAAGTAATAAACTGTAAACAAATAAAGTAATTAATTAGCACAAGATATAGAGAGAATTGAATTCTTCAGAAATTCTTATTTAGGTCTTTAAGAACCTTTAAATATAGATCTTCAGGATCTAGACATGTATTTTTCAATGATTTAACTATACATTTTAGTATAGTTCTTACCCTTTCTCTCTTTTCTCTTCTGATCAATTCTTTCCTTTTCTGCCTCACTTCTTATCTTCTTTTATATCTTTTATACATAGGGATGGCCATTTTAGTCCAATTCGTAGGGTCCGCCCAAACCCGTCCAAATGGGGCGAATTTTATCCAACCCGACACTTATGTGAGGCAGGAGTGAATTATATTTTGGTCACTCGTAACAGGGGCGGGATGGGGGCGGGAATCGTCTCCCCCAATCCAAACCTTACCCGATAAAATTAATAATATATATAATTAGATATAATAAAGAAATACTAAAAATTTGTGATTCTGTTTAAATATAAATAAATAATAATTCTAAAAGTCTCACTGTTTATATATATATATATATGAAAACAAGAGAAATTATTTAGTGTATTAAGGATTTAAATAGTTCTCAATTTTTTTGGCTATTTTAAACGTGATCGGATATCCGCGAGTATTCGTAGGGGCGGGAATGAGGTTGAAAATTTTCACCTGGGGTTAGGACGGGGGCGGGGGTGGGGATTGAAAGCATGTACGGAAGTAGGGAATAAGAAACCCATCACCAACCTGTCCCTACCCCGTAACCATCCCTAATCGTACGTGAGTTTACAACTCAATTTATATGCAAGTAAACAATATGTGAGAATAGTAAATTATGCTATTCCAACTACGTAAATAGTAAAATTATTTATTAATCTATTAATCTATAAGTCTAAAAGGTTATTCTATGTCATAATTATGATCATTTATCTTTCATCTTTGCATAAGATGTTTCACAACCTACAATGATTTATATCAAACTCGAGACTTCGAAGAAAATACATATTGTAGGTCAACATTTACATATGCAACTAAGATTATGATTTTGACCAAAATAATAAATAACTAAATATACAGTTCAAGTTGGATTGTAAGGTCATTTCCATCATGATTCATGTACTCTCATAGTTTTCAAAATAATAAAAACAAAATTAAACAAACTTAAGATAACTACGGCTGTGTTTGGTTGTGTTTCTAAACAATGATTCTATACACATATTCCAATATGATGTTTAGAACCAATTCTCAAATCACATTTTTACAATTCTACAGAAAACTCTGTGTGGGGCACGTTTTTCAATTTTTTTTTTCAAATTTGGCCTAACCGGTGGTCCCATCGGTCGACCAGCCGGTTGACCGGAACAGTGTAATTTCATTTTTTATTTTTTTTATTTTTTGTAGTTGACATATGTTAATTTTTATATATTCGAAAAAAATATTTTTCTAATTTTTTAAAATTTTTTATGTGCTTTAATAAAATTTTGAATTATATGTTTGGTTATGAATTGTAAGTTTTTGTATCAAATATTATATGTCACATTAAAAATTTTTCACTCAATTCAAAACTCTTTTACCAAACAAATTTTTTACACTCAAATCATAATTTTAAAACTCACAAATTCAAAATACAACACATATTCTCAAATTATATTTATAAAACTCTACCAAACACAACTTACATCATGGCTCACTCACAGGTATTAATCGGGTCAAAGGTCTGACAAATCGATTAGTATTTTTTTATTTGACTTTTTTTACTAATTTTTAATTTTGACTTTCAATTAATAAAAATATAAGTGATTATTTAGGATAATCTAAATAAGTATACTTTTTAATTTTTTATAAAAACATGTAAAATATAATAAAGAAGTGATATGACTCAAATAAGATAAAAAAATAAAAAATAATAAAAAAATGTTATTCTAACACATCCCAAACAAAGCATGCCGCAAGCATCACTTCCCCTTTAAATTTGTAAAATGATCATCCAATTAGGTGATCATTAGTTAGCCACGACGTAAGTTTAAAATATATATAATGATCATCCAATTAGGTGACGATGTGAGTTTAAAATATATATAAACATGTGAAAATTGTATTTTAAAATACATAAAGAAGAAAGATAAATTACAAATATACCTTTTGAATTTTGCTTAAGTACGGATTGTTCCTATAGTTTAGAAAATTATAAATACAAGAATTAGAATTTTTTATTTAATAAAATTAATTAAAAAATAAAATTTTTAACTGCTCTCCTAGAAATGATAAAATTACTTAAATTATCAATTGAAATAAATTTATGACATTATTAAAAACTGCTAATTGTCTTGATAATTTATTAATAAAATAAATCATTTGTTATGATATTAAAAAATTTAGGGGGTTAGATGTAATTTCAAAAATTATATGAAAAAAATCATATTTTAAACAAATCTCAAAGGCTATATTTGTAATTTATCCCAAAAAAGGTGTCATGATTTTTAATTATGAGATCACATTTAGGAATGGCAACGGGGCGGGCCGGGGATCACCCTCCCCGTGCCCGATCCCCGATAGTGAAAATTTCACCAGTCCCGGCCCAGGCCCCGATCCCCGGCAGGGAAACCTATCACCGTTTCCGTCCCCGTCCCCAACAGGGATCGGGTTTCCTCGACCCAAAAGTTCCTTGATCCAAATCTGTTCAGTGTTCAACAACATCATCAACAACTTCTTTTAACATCAAAATCATACACACAGAGAGACACACACATACATACATACATGTATACATCCACAAAGAGAGACACATACATACACATGTATACATACACACACAGAAAGGATGACGGAGATCGGCACAGATTGGCACAAACGACGGAGGACGACGAAGATCAGCACAGACGACTGAGGACGACAGCAATGAAGGACGAAGGACGAAGACAACGAACGACATCGCGGACAGTAGCGGTAGCACTGAGGAGAAGGAGATGTGCAAGAGTGAGAGAGAGTAGAGGGAAGCAAAAGAGAGGTGCGAAGTGAGAGATAGTACAAGGAAGAGAGAGAGTGAGTCTTTTTTTTGAACCAGAGGTCATAGGGCATACAGAGGGCATAAAGAGAGAGAGTGAGAGTCTAAGAGACAGAGGGCATACATTTTTTAGGGATATATATAGTATGTTTATTTCGAGGGTTTAATGGAGACGAGGTCAGGGCCGGAGACAGGGCGGGGCCGGGGCCGGGGCTGGGGCTGGAAAACATATCACCGTCCCCGGCCCGAAAGTCAACGGGAATTTATTTTTGAATACCATCCCCGGCCCGTGGAGGATATTTTTTGGGAAAAAACCGCTCTACTCGGGGTCGGGGGGTCGGGTTCCCGTCGAGCCGGGTTCAAATTGTCATTCCTAATCCCGTTGTCAATAAGCAGTAAAAATGTCAAAAAAATAAATAAATAATCTCAACACACTTTATGCCTATCCCAAAAATACTTTTATATTTTTTAAAATATTTTGATAATTTTTATATATATTTTCTAACACTAACAACAGCTTAATTTAATATCATTATTTGTATATTAAAAGACAATTCACACACTATATGACTCTTTCCATTTACACACTTGACAAAAGTATGTGAACAAAACATGTATTTTGATTGATTAAATTTAAGTGTAGTCAATATACTCTTTTGAATATAAAACTATAATTTTGACTAATTAAAATTATGTGTATTGCAACAAATTCAACTTTCTCTTAAAATAATAAAGATGATAGTACATAAGACGTCCTAAATGATGTAATAGCATAGAAGTATTTTATTGTTAATACTTTATTATTAAAACAAGCCAATACAAGGTGACATTGACGAGTCTGACTACTCAAAACTAGGCTCCTGGTGTGAGTATGTCATAGTAGTGTATGTGGCATCTTGATCGGAGATGTTTTTTGAATTGTTTTTTAATGATTTAAATTATTTATATTAGAGAGTTTGTATAGTA